CGGCCCAGCCCCGGCGCCACAGGGCCGCGCTCGGCGCGGCCGCGTCCTGCCTGCCTCCTGCCTGCCTCGTGCCTGGGGGAGCGAAAGGTCCAGCCCCGCTGAACAGGCTGCGTGGCTACTTCCTAAGAAATAAGCATAGAAGGGTTTTTTTTTCATCCTAAGATCACCCCTTGAAAAACTCCTGAAGCATGGCTCTACACATCCACATTCCGATTGTCATTTATGCACAGGACTTCTAACCAGCTACTCTTTCCTCTTACAAAGCCACTTACAGAAATCTGATTAATCCTAACATGCCTGTGTCCTTCCCCAGTGAACAGCGTTTAGATTGCCCTGTGGCATGTATGTACACAGAAGATCTGTGTAGTAGCACTGGTGAACTGCAGTGGTATTTTTGTCTTTTTATTTTCTATTGCTTAGCCAGCTAAAGGAAGAGTCCTTACAGACAGCCTGCCGAGAAAGACTCCTCCTTTCTAAAGCTCCTTTAATGCTAGTTGTATTGGCTTCTCAGGTATATTTTTTCCTTGTACTTCAGTCTACCTTTTTTCTGTTGCTTGGTTACTTAGAGAATCGTAAAATCACAGGGTTGAAAGGGATGTCTTAAGGTCATCCAGTCCAAAACCTTGCCATGAACAAGGACATCTTCAACTAGATCAGGTTGCTCAGAGCACCATCCAACCTGGCCTGGGATGTTTCCAGGGACAGGGCATCTGCCACCTCTCTGGGCAACCTGAGAAGTAGAATGCCTCCCCAAGCTTGAAAAAGGAGTCAGAACTATGAACCAAGAACTACAGTCAGTATAAGAGTGATCCAGGAAGTTAACACAGCAGGGGTATCAAAAGAAATGAAGGGATCCCTTGCCACCTGCAAGCAATTAAGTCTTTTTTATTTCCTCCTTTTAACTTAAATAGTTCTCCTCTTAAATGACTATGGAGGATTTTTTCCCAGCTTTCTCCTTGCAAAGAAAAGTAGAACATAAGGATATTTTTCTCTGTATTTCCTGAACCAGACCTATTCACCATTTCCTATCTCATGTGCGTTCACTGAACTGTTGCTCTGAACAGCATCATTTGTCATAACTTAATATGGAAAGATACAATAGGAGAGAAAAGTGAGATAGGGATAATGGAGTGTCATGGTATTATTGTTGTTTTCTGGCATTATTGTCTTTCAGTCAAGTTGCTACCTTGAGACAGGCTTCTGTTCAGCTTGGAAGACTGTTACGCATTCCACTTTTGTGGGAGTACAACAGCTCAAACCCTTAAAATGAGGTTCTGTGGTGTCTCCAGAGATTTCTGTCCCTTGCTTATGCCCACCCTCATGCTTGTGTAGACACATACCAAGTTCACTCAGGGAACTGATTTGTCTGAAAAAGTGAGTATATTTGGTAAAGATGATCTTCACCAAAATGAACTACCTGAATCAACTCATGCAGTCACACAAGCACTATCACCACTGCAAGGGAGAAGAGCTGGGACTACAGCAGACCAGATGTACATCAGCTTGAGATACTGGGGAAACAAGCTCACAGGCCCCTTCATTTATCCTATGTAGTGCCTAGAAACACTAGAAAGCAGTAGACAGTTGTTTTGACTCTCTGCACTCTGATACAAAGCCTATGATCAGTAGTCCTAGGCTGCCAGGTACATACTTCATAGATCAAAGACCAAACTGGAGATTTCAAACCAAAATATATCTATGTATATACAGCGAATGCTCTTTGCAATAATTTACAATTCACAGTTAAGTAAGTCAGTCTCACAAGCACAAAAGTGTGTTGAATAACCAAGACATGGCTCCCCACATTAATATTTCACTTGCATTAAAGAATAGGCTGGAGTACATTCAGCATGTAAAAAGTGGGAGAAATGCAAGCTGCAAGACTACGAAGTTTAAAATAAGCTTTATATAATAGAAGTTCAAAAAGAAGCTGGCCATTTTGAGAAGGAGGGAAAAAAAGGAATAGGCAGGTCTCCAAACTGCCAGGATGTTGAATTCTAGAGGACAAAGGCCAAAAGATGGGGTACTGTTATACAAGTTGCTCTTTCACATTTCATGTGAAATTTTGAACATTTCACATTCAGCTGCACCATGTCAAGAGTTGAAGAGAACCAAAGACACTCAATTTTGTTAACTAGCATCTAGAATTGTTTTTCTTTTACCATAACACTGCTTTGCTACAAAACTGAAAACATAATGGAAATTTTGTTGTTTTCCTTTTAAGCTTGTCTGGCACAAAAATTAAGCCCAGAAAGAGAAAATAAAATTAAATAATCATCCCTACCACCACCCCCATCAAGAATGAGGGACATCATAGTCTTTCAGTGTTCACCAGGTGATTATAATTGATTTCATTTTCACCTGTTCTAAGTTATCACTTCAGTTCTGAAAGTGATTATTCACTTGCTTTGGAACTCTGAAGCTTCTCTGGTAGTTTTTCCTGTTAGTTCACTGTTACTATTCCCAATTCACAGTTCGTGGTCTAGTGCTACAGTAATAATGCCAATAGTGAATGATTGTGCAAACCTTGCACACTATCACCCACAACCCAGTTTCTCACATCAACCTTGAATTTATCTATCATCCAATTTAATAACTAAATCAGTGAGCACATATAGCCACCGTTACAGAAGTGTGGCTCTGCCCTTAAGTGATCCATACATTTTTTCACATTCCTTGTATTTTTTCCTTTCATAGTGCACATAAATGCATGTATTAATAGCTCTTGACAGAACTTGTAACTCAGCAGTGAATTAATTTACAAGACAGTAAAAATGGCTTATGTTGTTACTGTTGGCATATTATTTTCAGACTTCAAGGTTTAGCAAAATTAACATCACGCAAAAGCGGTCTCATTGCTTTCTACTGTTTTTTGAAGCATGTTCCAGTTGCAAAAAAATAACTAGGTTCTTCTTTAACTGTCAAAAATGTTAAAATTTTCAGTCCCAAAGCAGTGTTCCCAGAGACACAGATGAATGAACATGTATTGTAAAAAGGAAGCAAAAACTTCACATACAAAGTTCTGATCTTCCGAAGTAAAAAGTATAGAGAGAATAAAAGCAGGTATCTATTTTTGAACTTCATTTCTTGAAAGTGTTCTCGGGCATCTCCTCAGGACTGGTGCTGTTTGTAGGACAATACCGGAGGCACCGGCACAACTGGGGATATTGGAGTTGTAGTCAACACCTGATTCTGGAACACAAACATTTTAATCCTACCAAACACCCAAAGAAAGATAAGGAGAATGCTGACATACTGGATCCAGGCAAATTTAATCATTTCCCAAAATCCTGGCTGATATTTGAAGAAAGTCAAGGATCGTTCTGATACTACCACTACAATAATTAAACAAAGGATCTCAGAGGTGGAAAGGCACAAAACTTGTTAGAGATCAGTTTGTATGGCAAATGCAAAGCCTTTGAGCCATGGAACCCCCTAAAAGCCTTTTACCATGGTATGTAACAAAAGCTGCAGAGCATGTCTGTCCTAGAATACATTTAAACCAATTCTGTTGAAAGTGACTATTTTGTCCTGACTCACCAAAAAGTAGTTCTGGGTAATACTCAGGCAAGCAAACCAACCTTGTCAGAAATGCATTCCATACAGATTCTTTTAGACACAGGCTTGTTCTTGTCTGAGAAAAGTAAAGAACGTAATGAACAAAGAATTTTTTTGTAGAAAAAAAAATCAGGTCTCTCTGTGCATGTAACAGATTTTCCACATCCACTGGAGGGGTGATTATTTGGTGAGCTTACCTCGCATACAGATTTCTAATGATTTGCTTTAGGTCACAGAACACAGCATCATACTTTGCTAGTGGCATCCATTACAGATTGGGACAGCAGACATTGCAGGAGCAAAGCAAGACTTACCAAGGATATTCACTGTGAATGGCTAAGAAACTGCCTCGAAGGACAGTTTAGTAAGGCTGAAAAGCAACACAGGTTCCCGACAGAGAAAGGCAAAAAGTGATTATGCAAGCACAACCATCTGAAGGAACAGGCAAATGGGTATTCAGTTAACTCCAGAACTATAGCATTTGCTTAATTAAAAAAGGAAAAGTTTAGCAAAAAGTCTAGGAGAAAACAGTTTTCATTTGGCCTATATGTGAAGGCCCAAATAATGCAACCCAGTTATGGCACAGTTTCTGCAGTTTTCAAAGGATATAAGATAACTTCCACTGGGTAACGAATAGTGGCATTAATGGTAAATGGTGTATCTGTTGCTCTTCCAGGCATCCAAACCGGGTTGGGATCCGAAAAGACTGTTGTCACTAAAATGGAGAAGGGAAACATCCAGATTAAGGGGATTTTCAATCTTAATACAGAACTCAAATCCTCACAGAACAGCTGCCAATATGCTAACTACTGCTGTCCTGTAATTCGCAGCTATAAGTTCAGGCTTACCATTTCTATCCCAATATGCTGCAATGATGTTTGTTAGATCATAGTCACTCGCAAAAGGACTTGTGCCATTGACCACAGACACCTGTTACAACAAGGACATACTTGCATTATTTTCCCACTATTCAAGAAAGTAACTATACTGAGTTTCTTATGCAAAGTAACCATGCCCTTGAAGGTATGTAAACATCAGACTAAACATCTTGGCAGAATAACCTCTTCCACCTTTCAGCCTAACAAGAAAACACCAGTTCCAAACTTTTAGGGTCCACTCTGTGCAGGAGTACAAATAACCAAGGTGCCACCTATGGTGCTAGGAGGTTAAGGGGCGAGGGGGTGGGAATTGATGGGGAAGCAAAAAAATTCCCTCACATTGTATCTGGTATCCACTCCACAATGGTTAAGTAATTGCCTCTGGTTCAGTCTCAGGTCTCCATTCATATAGAGCTGAGACCCTGGCACAGGAGAAAAAAACTGAAGAAAAGCCATGCTCTGCATCACAAGTGTTGACATTCTCTGAAATGGTGAACATGAGAAAAGAGAATTTAGTGGGGAGGAACACAACGCACTTTTCTACCTCTTTGTATCTGCAGATTTTCTGTGTGGATTTGATTTTTTTTCTGACTCCTGAGTTTCAGATTGTCACATTAGTCTAAACAAGGGAACAACAAATAAGAAATATTAATTACTTTTTTTTAAGTGTACTACCTTAGTTGTTAGTTAACTAACTTTATAAACCAAACAAAGTTCTGCAGGAAATTCAGTCAAGTGCAACAGTTTATGGCCAATGACAGAAAGATTTGACTTGCCATAACGTGTGAAAAGCAGCAAGATGACTAAACACATTAATTTGAGATGCACTTTAAAATACTCAGCAGTCAAAGCCAGCTAAGGACTCCTGCTCTGCAATAAGGACAAAACAAGGAAGTTCCCTAACCCTCATCAATGCTTCAATCTGAAGCAGAATTTTCACATTTACTGTAAAACAAAGGTGTTGTGAATATCAGAACTCTCCATGATACTAATCACTGACCTAATACTCAGCACAAATTTAGGACTGTCGGGCCTTTACTCTGGGCCTCATAGGTTTAAGAATGTTTTCTATACCACACTGCTGTGCTTGCTAAGCTTGTCCATCTGCAATCTGCAGGACTCCAAGAGTCTCTTGGATAAACTAAGCCTAATGTCCCTAGTAAAACAACTTCTTGTTTGCATGGCTGCATCCCACACAGCTTTATACTATTGCTTCTTTCAGATGCATCCATGGGTTCTCTGTGCATTAGTGTTTTACTCACTGCCACCTGAAGTACAATGGCAGCAGAATTTTATTTTCTTGTTTCCCTATAACACCTTCTTTCCCCTCCCAGTCACAAGACATAGAAGATCCTGGCAGATGATTACCATTGCTTCAAGAGCTGCAAAATAAGCAAAGTCTATGGAGTTTTAAGCTGCTGCAACAGCCTGCCCCTCCACCTTGGAAAACTAACTGGTTATGTCAAGACACAGCAGTATGTAAGAATGCACATCCTATTGCAAGACTCTCAGTTATTTCCTGATGTCACCCATAGTGACACCCGCTGTTGCGCATCTCTGTCCTCTACGCTGCACTACAGCCCAGAAGAATACACAGCTTTAAAAAAAAACAACACACACACATCCCCCCCCTCCAACCTAACGAAATGTATCAAAATACAGAACCGAGCTAGACTAGGAATGACTCAGCAGAGAAGGAGAAAATTAAATAATTGTTAGTAAAATAAATCTTTTAGATAGGAATTTCAAATGTGGAAAGGTTTTTTTCATGCTTTGCATAACCACTACTGGAATATTACACTGGTTCTATATGTCACAACAAATAAAATTAAAAATACTCACATAAAGGTGGTAGGAAAAGAGTAGAATCAGTTGAACACCAACTACATGCTCCGTAGGTTGTAGCGGAAGTTCCAATTTAAAATGCAACTGATCCATTTTGCCATCTTGATTTTTGTCTTCTTCTCTAGTCTAAAAGAATCAACAAGAATTTTTTTTTAAGACAGGAACCGCTAGAAAGAAAAACATAAAAGGTAAAACCCCAGGGGACCTCCACAATTGCAGCATGCACATATTAAGGAAGCAAATAAACTGCATAGTTAGGAAAGCAATAAAAAGCTGCTTGACTTTATGTAGGATGAGAGACAAGCAAGAAGCCTACAATGTTGTCTGTTATACAATGTCTCATATGCCCTCCAGAGAGGGAAAGCTCATCTGGCCCTTCAAGGTCTCTTCTGCCCTATACCATTCCAACCACCTCCCTTGCATGCTATGTAGCAGGCCTTAGTGCTAGATCTTCTGTCACATCCTGTGTGAACGTGTGACTGATGGTCAGGCTCTTGCCTCTTGCCCTTGCAAGAGCATTATCTTAATGGTTTCTGTATGCCAATTCCATTATCGTAATGGTTTCTGTATGCCAATTCCTGGTTGTGAGCCAAAGCTTGCTACACTTCTGTGCCACAAATGCCCAGTACTTCAGCTATTTACAAGTGTAACAGGACTCATAACAGAGGTAATGTAGAAAAATAGCTGCTGCTGTTGAATCCCAGAAGGAGCAATGGCTGCACGGCAGAGGTTATGTGCTTTAGAAATCACATACCTCCTTTCAAAACCAGGGGCTACCTACCAACCCCTGCAAACTTCAGATCACAATAAGCTATATGGTGAGGATGGCACAACTAATTTGAGGAAAGTAAGCTGATGTGTTCATGCAAACCACCAGTATTGCTTAGAGACATAGTTTAGTGGTGGACTTGGTAGTGTTTGGTTAATGGTTGGACCTGATGATCTTAAGGGTCTTTTCCAACCTAAATGATTCAATGATTCTAGAACACTGACAGGGAGTAAAACTGGACTGGTTAAAAATCACTTGTTCCAAGCAAATTTTGCTGCGAGTCACAAGGTTATGCACGAAGCTGCTGCTACTTGAAAGCAGCAGTGCACGATCGGCCTCCTACTCACTGGCACCACCAACACTCACCCCGGGGCCTGCTGCCGCTCCCCTGGTCCCACT